AGCTATAGAGAGAAATGAAGAAAACAAAAGTAACCGAGAAAGCCCAACGGATCAGTAAGCTGAAGTGGCAATGAGCCGGCCATATGGCTTGAAAAACCGACAACCATAGGGAAACAAAAGGAAGTGTAAAATGACAAAATGAAACTCTAATACATGGAATGAGGACCTGGTAAGAGATGCAGAGAGTCGATGGATGAAGGTGGCTAAGGAGCGTGCTTTGTGACATTGCTTACGGTAGGCCTGTGTTGAGCAGTGACCTTGTCAAGGGCTGTAATGATGATTATGATAATTAGAGATGGGCCGAACTTACCGACTACAAAAATTTAGCCGAAAGTTCGTCAAAACTTACCCCGAACCGAATATTCAGTATAATTGATGCCATAGCTAAACAGTTCAGATCTGTACTTGTTACGTGTAAAGTTTATAAGATAATTACTGTTTTATATAAATATTTTTTATCTTCTGTCGCTAAACTAAATAGCAACTAGAGATACGATTAATATTTGCCTAAATATTGTAATTCTATTATGATTTTTTTCTTGCCGTAATATCGATTAAAGCCTAACCTAAGTTTCGTTTCCGAAGAATGGAACTCACGGCGCCGCTATTTAGCAATAAAAAATTTCTAAAATCAATTTTTTATCTAAGTACGGAAATAAAACTAAGCTCTTAAAAACATAAAACTATACAGTATATTACTTACCTTATGAAAACAATACAACTATGTAAGACGCTGCATTTATCAATCATGTTCAATTACACAAAACTCAATTCGGTGAACTTTAGTATCACTTTGCCGAACATTCGGTAAATTAGCCAAATATTTGACCGAATAAGAATATTCGGTAAACCTGCCGAATAAGCCAAATATGAAACGAATTTTCGGTCCATCCTTAATGATAATATTATTCATATTATATAGTTTTAATATTTTAATTAGTCTTAAGTACGAAAATTACATCGTGGTACCGGAAGTCCGGGACAATACCACAATACCAATCAAATAGTACAGAAGCTGAGGACGTTGATTCAAGCGTAGTCGAGTCCAATCCCATAAATAAACAGCGGAACCATTTGTCACAGTAGATCGCGGGACGTTCACTTAAACGGCCGCTGTCCAAATATATTGTTCGAATGACATAACAATATCATTGCTGTGAGAAGGGTTACGGACGTTTATGAATTTAATGAAGTAAAAGTGCTTGAGATCGCCTTTATTGCATCTATTTGAATGTAGGACACATTGTAGTTTATTGATTGTGGAATTTTCATGAAAATTTAAGTATAAAGAAATTAACTTTCCACTTGGTTTGAAATTGATTGAGGAATTGACTGATGAACGGCGTGCTTGGTTGTGAGAATCGACTACTGAGTCACGGCTAGATTCGAACAAACGTGACTGAAGGACAGGCAGTGTCTTTCTGACAAAATAGAAATGAAAGGTATTCAGAATAAGCTTTTTCATTTCACTGTTGTCTTTGATACCAAACAAACATATTTCTGATTCTGTCACATATACATTACCTATATCAGATACAAGTAAGTTGGCACGAGTGGTGTGTTTTGTTTGCAAGTATACTTGTGGAACTGTATTTATAGTTGACAACTTGCTATCGTCATCATTGTCAAACATATGTGCACGGCTGATAACGTTGACGATGTACATATACTTTAAATAAATACTGCATTAAAACAGTAATTGAACCATCTGCATTTATCGACTTCCTGTGTAACGTTTTGGTACTGCATATAGTAGGGGACCCCGTCCGCTAACCGCTTACCGATAAGAGAATGCTCCAAAATCTTTATTCCCCATTAATCAATCGATTTATTGATTCTTCGAGCTAAATGGTCAGTCTTTTATATTTTTATTAGTTTTGCTCGATGGCAGACAGGCGAAAAATGGACGTCGTAAAAATTATTATACGGTAACTAAAATAGTTAAAATTTATTCTTTAATGCAGTCCTTAAAACAAAAGAATACAGGGCGAACGGTAACTTGAGGCATTTTCTACCAGTCAACCGATGGAGTGGTAAGAATTCGAAGTAGTTGTAGCAATAAAAAAAAACAAAATAAAAATGATAATCAAATACGTACTAGTAATAAACAACCCGCCTGGCAAGAGTGGCAACTATGGCAAGTGATGCAATTTACGAGATAGTCGAAGTTCAGCAGTGGAATTCGATAGGCTACTAATTAATGAATGAGTTATTGCGAATATAACTTCAATATTAATTAAGCAGAGAAAGTATACTATAATTTTGATGTGCAGTGGTTGTAAGGACATCAGAATAAAAGTAAGTGGGAGAGCGCTAGGTTCTTTAGGACGCGAAACACATCGAAGCCTAAATATCATTAACAAAGTTCGCGCTCCCCGGGCAGAACACCTTGCCCGGCGGGAGATCTCCCCTTTTCCTTCCACGCCAAAACATGTGTCGTATTGCCGTCAGTGGTGTGTCTTTCCTAGTTTAGTGGTGTTGGGAGTAGTGGTACTATTAGTGGTGACTGGGATATAGTGCACGCAATAGAGGGAGGGTGAGAGGTGCTCTTCAAACTAGGTAAGACACATCATTTTATTTTATCTAGCGGATATACTCAAAGTAATTTTTACCAACTTTAATATAATGGATTTCCGCAAAGTAACGCATGATTCTATTAATTACTGTGAATACAGTATTAGTTTGATGTGCTTGAGCCAAATCCATATCTTTTTTATAAAAAAAAAACGTAAACTCTGCAATAGGTTTTCTTCTTGCACATGGATAAACACTTCTGGAACAATTATTTGTAGGCTGTACAAATACTTGTTAATTGTTTCAATCGAACATGGGGTACGCATCGAAAACGCTAAGTCACACAATCGGCAATCGCCAATTAGATAATGGAATAAATATAATTTAGGAGCAATGTACGGATTTATATATGTATTACATTTGTCATAGACAATTCCTTTATTATAGTTTGTCCTTGTGCAATTTATGTTTGTAAACTGCCTCCACGACACAGGAGAAAATCCTAGTGTGGGGGTAACGTTTTAAAAAAAGAAATAAGTATAAAAAATAAAATCTTTTTCTTATGAACCTGTATCGAAGAATTGTACATCCGTGATTTTCTGTGTTAATTGACATAATATATTTATATGCCAAGTAAATTAAAACACAGCTACGTTTTGTAAATAAAATAATTCTTTATTTTTACATAGATAACACACTATAATAAATCTAGAAGTTACATAGATAGGCGAAATCCGTTTGTTATGTAAGCAGCCAGCAATGCTTAAAATTACCTTACTTGTTATAATGAAGATAAGCCTCGTTAATTTAGCGGAAAAATTTTACTTTTAATTATTGCTAAATTAATTTTGTTCTCTAATCAGGACTCCTCGAGTGCTCCATGGAATTAGGTCGCCCTCAGCAAACACTTCAGGGTAACTGACGTTGCTCTTTTGTAGGCAAAATTTTTAAGCTCTGTTTGCACGGGGTATATGGTGAAATTTTAGCTTGTGTACACAGGGTGAAATATCGCTAAGAATCTTCAAAATGCATCTCCCGGTTGGTTAAATATGGTAATAATTATTGCACGTTATATTTTTTTTGAGTACACGATCAATATGGACTATTTATTATTTGCATTAATAATTTAATTCTTATGGAATAAATTTTTTCATGTTACGTGTTTGTAATTAATACCCATCCTTCGGCGGATTATAAAGAAAGCTGAGGAGTAAAACATATATATGTCTCTCGAGTTAGAATATGGTAAAAAAAGTTCGATAGAATTGAAATTTTAATGGTGCTGCAGTCTCTTTAACGTTGCCAAATTGGCTCCCGGTGAATAGATCAGGTTCTTGTATAGGGTACTTAAGGTGAATATTTCGGTCCGAGAACAGTATATTTGGAGGTGGTTATGAGATAGAATAGAATAATTTTTATTTACTATAAGTTTAACGTGGTAGAGCGACACTGAAGCCATATTGCTGGTATAGTTGTAGCACGAATGGGTCGGCTCGTCCGAGAACCGGAGACCCTTTTTACTGGAAAAGAGGCATTCCACCTTAATCCTCACGGGTGATAACGCATCTGCATTTTGATTCGCAAACGAGGATAGATATAGATAGATGTCTATGGGCCACAGCAACCATTTACCATCAGGTGGACTGTGTGTTCGTTTGTCACCCATATTTTATTAAAAAAAGATACTAAGTAATACTTTTGTTTCCACTGGTTCAAAGAAAACCGCTACCTTCTTTTTTAAATAATTATTTCGTAATATTGTATGTTTGTTGTTATATGTAGTTATTTTACATTTACATAAACCCTCTCATAAATGAGGAGGGGCCTGTGTTCAGTTGTGGGACCTATATAAGCTGTAACTAACTTAAATAGCATAAAAGCGATCACCTCATTCGCAGGTGATTCGGTCATATATTCTTTATTATTTTAATAACCCTTATTATTCAGTTTTGTTTCATTTGTTTTGATTGAGTGGTCCTGCTAGATTGGCAAAAAGAAAAGAAAATGTTAAAAGCTTCTAAATCTTACGATCGACTTTTTCTCTTTGATTACTCGTACGGTTATACTTTTGCTAGTGTCAAATAGTTTCAAAATCATTTCACAATATTAATTGCGTCATATTGAGGAGTTTGGAGAGGACTTGGGAGATTTTGACGACAATCTTGACTCAACACAAAGTCGATGACGACAGTATCTCAAGTTCTAGACAAAATAAGATGACTAATGAATCTAATAGTTCACATGCTTAGATGCTTAATACACAAAATTTAATCTTTTTTACATATCAAAATTCACTTAAAAATTATTTTTTATACGATAAAACAAGAGCAACAATCCGCTGATGTTCAAATTCCCGTAAAAAAAATTACTTCATCCATTGGCTATCATTCGACAGATCTTACGAAGACTTTTGATTCGGCTCAATATCTCCTTCAATGCGACACGAAGGCTTACAAACTACATATTTTTGAGAACGGATAACCTACCAGTTATGTTGAGGACGACTCGCTCTCCGTGCGTGGCGACGATCCTCCACTCGCAGCGTTCGGGCACGGCGGGCGCCGCCTCCGAGCCCCAGCCCGGCGAGGTGAACCACCCCGAGTTACCCAGGAAGGTCTTGCCGCATTCTAGTGACAGAAATTATTAATTTTCAGATAAAAATAATAATTTAATCAGCTGTTATAGCAAATGTTTTTGGTAATGATGACATAATAAAAGTTATGTTTCATAGTTTTACAAGTTGTAAAATTAAAAATTATGTACAACCTATAAATAATAATATAAATTATTATGGATAACTCAAAAACTAATGGTCAGAGCTTGATCCAATTTCTATAGGATTGCATAAAAAGCACCAGCTTTCAAATAAAATAAGAATCATCAAAATCGGTTCACCTAGAAAAAAGTTATGGGGTAACACACATAAAAAAATATAGTCGATTTGAGTACCGCCTGTTTTTTGAAGTTCGTTAAAAAGATATCGTGTGGTGTAAGAAAGTTATCACTCCATTTTGTCGTGTGGGTATCAAAAGTCGCGATTGCGAGAATTGTTAGAAAACTTTCATAGATCCCGATAGATGGTGACAGATTTACTCAGACCGGCAAGAGGGAGCATAGTCAAAGGTACAAACAAGGTTTATGGTACTGCAATCGCAAATCCACTTACGACGGGAGATACTCATCTCTATCAGTAGACGGCCTTATAAAGAACAAGTAGTAAAGCTTAAAAAAATCTACTACCCCCATATTACTTCCACATCTAAGACGAATCTAAAGACATATGTTTAAAATCCAATGAGCCGTTTAGGCTACAGAGCATGGCAAAGAAATAGACATACATACACTCGACACATTTTACCCTATTTCTATGACAGTCGGGTAAAAAACGATACGCAGAATAACAAAATTGAGAAGAAAATAGACAAATAAAAGTTACTTACTCGCACACTTATACAGTAAATTAGTTTGAGCTATATCACTGGCACTGAGCCTCACTCGTTGCCCGATCTCCGGCCTCTTCTTCCCGTGAACTTCCAACGGGAGTATCGTGTCCAAGTAGGTGCCTTTGCTGAACGTGTTTCTTGCGTAATGCATTATGCTGTCGTAGTCATAGGTCTGACCCAACGAGTTAACTTCTTCATACGTGAGCTTGTTGAAGTTATACTCTTGACCTGCCAAAAGATATAAAGTTTAACAAATTTTTATTAAGTTCGTTATCATCATAAAAACAGTCCTTCACAAGTCCACAACTGAACATTGGCCTCCCCCCAAGGAATGTTATAAGACACAGCCACGTGCATTCGTCAACTTCATACATTTCTTACCAGGTCGTTACTTCATTTAGTTGAGAGCCACCCTACACTTTGTTTATTACGAGGCTGCTACTCGAGAACTTTCCTTTCCTATCCATTTTGGTTCTTCGAAGTATGTGGCTTATCCTTTGCCACTTCAACTTAGTGATCTGTTGTGCTATGCCAGTTACTCTAGTTCTACTGCAGATATCGTAATCACGAAATCTATTACGTAAAGAAACTCCGAGCATCCTGTCCATAGCTCGTTGAGCAACCTTAAGCTTCCTTATACGGCCAGCAGTAAATGACCAGGTCTAAAATCCATATGGTATCACTTATTAAGTTATATTAGTTTTCATAAAAAATTATACAAAATTGGATCTCCATTTTATAAAATTAAACAGGTTTATATCTCACTGTTTACGATGTAGTTACCGGTCTAAGAATATCTACTACGCCACAACCAATCACAAATAAAAATAACAACTAAAAAATAAAGAAAACCACGGTTGCTAACTTGCTTGCCAAGCATGGCAACTGTGGGAAACATAAAATTAGGCGTTATATGGAGGCAGCTTATGGTCAGCGGTGGGCTTTTGATAGGATGTAACGGTATAAGTAGCGACACGAAAGTCTAGCGGTGACAGTAATTGCGCATTTTTCGCGCTGATTGGCTCGTGCGTATCGTTCGCACGCGCTGATTGGCCTTCCAGTCGCACGTTTCGTTCAGCGCTAGACTTACATGCCGCGACTTGTAACGGTAGCGGATATCTCAGTGTAATGTGGGTAAAACATTTTGATTTGTGTCATTGTACGAGAGGCTGTTACTGAAATTGATGCGAACATTACAGTAAACATTTCTGTAAGTAATATTCGTGTATAGGACCGTTATTATACTCTTCGGAGTAATCTTATCTTCCTAGTGCGAAATACGGAAGTGTTAACGCTATATTGAGATAGTTATTACATTGAAGAATCCCGGGTATATTATTATAATAGAAATTCCGATCCGATGTTCTATCTCAAGAACAATCCAGAGCAGTTTAAATTAGGGCATACGAGGAACCCTAACAATTCAGATTTAGCCTTCAAAAGTTATAATTAAATGAGATTAAACTTTATTATTATAACGTTACGGTACAGTTACGGAATGTGTCGTTTAGATGAGTCGAAACTTTGCTCAAGTAGGTTAAAGTGAAATTTTCATTGTCGTGAAATTCCGTCGTGGAGATCGTTTAAATGCCTGGAATATTGACATGCCCAGTTGGCATTTTCGTAATTTATGTTTCAAGTATGCAAGGATAACGGCATTTATTTAGGTTATGTTACTTTACCGGTTTCTGATTTACGTTTGTCTTCTCTATCTAGCTAAATTATCCTAATAAAAGTTATATTCTTTTTATATTATACATATTTCATGGTTTATGATTTTAATTTATTTTATTTGCGTAGAAGTGGTTTCTTTTCTTTTAAATATTTTTTCTCCCTGTATATAAAAAGATCTCATGGGCTTTGAAACATGGTGATAATTAGCAGTTCTAATTTTATATGTGGCCTCAAAGGTGCAAGACGTCTTCTAAGGTCGAAGTCCTTCTTAAAATAAGACAAGCCTATGTTCAGTTTTAGATTTTTACAGAATGATGAGGAAAAGAAAAAGAAAAGTAATATAATATCATTAAATAATCAAGCTACAGCCTACATTGCATGGATTACTCGGTTCAATTGAAATTATTATTTGAAATTTTAAATGCAGATTTAAACTACACTACTTTTGCAATTCATACATTACATTAGTGTATTGGTGAGTATTGCCTGCCTTCATAGATTTGAAATGTAAACTATTCACAAGATATATATATTTTTTACATTTAAATGAATAATCTTTTGCGAATCTTTGTATTTTTAATTTCATAGTACAAGAGCTCAAATTCGATTCCCGCCAGCACTTTTGAAATTGTGAACTGACATAGGCTCAGCGGCAAAAGAAAATATGGAACAAAATAAAAAAAATCTGGATCGTGTAAAAAACAAATACGTATTCGGGCAGCGCGACAGTTTCTTCCCTAATACAAAATGCACTCAAATATATGACAAGGATTATGCTCGGTAAAAGAACGTATGTAGGGTTTTCTTTTAGAAGTCTATTGTTTATAAGTATTAATTTATTTATTTCCAAAACAATATCACAAAATTTTTGGTCAATAATTTCTAATTCGTAGTAAGTATATTATTTAAAAGTAAAACAATATTAGGTATTTAACAAAAACAAATGGAAACGAAAGGAAAAAAAAAACGTATTTATGTAACTTTTTTTATACTCTTTTTAACAGTGTTAGAGCTAAGCGGTAGCTTTTGCTGTCGCGCGGATGGGCCAGCTCGAACCGGGGTGGTACCACGACCTCAAAGAATACCAGCGTGAAGTAGAAGTTTACCTCTGCGTTGCCCTTGGTGAGTGCAGGTGGCCGGAGGCCCAATCCCCTCCCCCCATCAACATGGTAGTGGAATTAAATAAAAGACTACCCCAGGAGGGTACCAGCACCCCTGGAGAATCCCTCGCTGAGCATCCACGACCAAACTACTTCACTCCTGAGCGTGGGTGCTCAGGCTGCCCCGCATATTCAGGGGGGGGGGGGGGAGGCAAACTTCCGCTCGCGACTAATGCTGCTCGGGGCAAGCGGAGCCAAGCGACCCCTGTCACGCTATCCGTGAATTTTTGCAACATCAGGGGACTTCATTCCAAACTTAACGCTGTCCATTACCATCTAGAGACGGCGAAGCCGGCCTTGCTCTTTTTAACCGAGACTCAGGTGTCCTCTCCGGCTGATACTTCATATCTCTCCTACCCGGGGTACAAATTGGAACACTCCTTTGTGCCCCGGGCTGGAGTTTGCATATACGTCAGAGAGGACATCTGTTTTCGACGCCTCGGCAGTCTTGAAGGTACGGACCATCCCGCGTCTACGGGTGCCTCTATGGGTCCCATAGCGGTAATGCATAAACAGACTGACTCATCGACCACGTCCAAATGGCTACAGATTCCTTGCTACAACAGGTCCCATCCGCAGAGATCGTGATCCTTGGCGATTTTAACGCCCACCATGCCGAATGGCTCGGTTCACGTTTAACCGATCATGCAGGGAGATCTGTTTATGACTTTGCTTTGGCATATGGTCTAACACAACTGGTTACTTCACCTACGCGGATCCCAGATGTGGAAGACCATGTACCTTCCCTGTTGGACCTTCTGCTGATCTCTCATCTGGACGGATATCAGGTCTCCGTCGATACCCCTCTGGGCTCTTCGGACCATTGTCTGATCCGGAGTACGGTGCCACTCACGCTCCAATCGCAGTTGCAATCTGCAGCTTGTCGCCGTGTTTGGCACTATAGGTCAGCTGATTGGGACGGGATGCGGTCTTTTTTTGCATCCTACCGTTGTTGCCGATTCTGTTGCTGATGTGGTACTTCAGGGTATGGAACTTTTTATTCCATCTTCTGTGGTGCCCATCGGAGGCAGATCTAAGCCATGGTTTGGTCGCTCCTGTAAAATAGCATCACGCTATAAGCAGTAGTGCTACCAGGCCTGGGCTGACGCATCAACGTCTCGGGATGTAAACACCAGCGCACTTAAAAAGAAGTATAATTCCGCCTCTAGGTCCTTCAAAAGCGTCATTACCAAGGCAAGGTCTGAGCACATCGGCAGAATTGGCGAGAAACTAGTTCGCCTTCCTTCGGGAACCCGTGCATTCTGGTCTCTCGCCAAGGCTATCCAAAGGGAACTTCTGTCAGCCATCTCTTTCATCTCTGCACAGAGAGGACGACTCACTGGCCCATGCCGCAAAGGAGAAAGCCGATCTCTCGAGCTCTCTTTTTGCGTTCAACTCGACTCTAGATGACGGGGGTAACACACCGCCGACCATCTCGTGATTTGAGTGCTCCATGCCGGATGTGCGGTTTACACAGCGCTCGGTTCGCAAAGCACTCTTCTCCCTGGACGTCAGCAAGTCGAGTGGGCCCGATGGAGTCCCTCTCATTGTGCTGAAGACGAGTGCTCCGGAGTTGGCACCGGTTTTAACGCGTCTTTTTCGGTACTCCTACTCCCAAGGCGTAGTCCCGAATTCATGGAAGACAGCTTTGGTCCACACGATCCCTAAAAAAGGCGACCGCTCAGACTCGTCCACCTACAGGCCTATTGCCATCACCTCCTTGTTCTCCAAAATAATGGAATCCATTATAAACTGCCAGCTCATGAGCTAACCTTGAGGATCACCAGCTGATTAGTGACCGCCAGTACGGTTTTCGTCGAGGTCGATCAGCTGGTGATCTTCTAGTCTATCTGACTCATAGATCGGCGGAGGCAGTAGAGTCCAAGGGGGAGGCATTGGCCGTTAGTTTGGACATAGCGAAGGCCTTCGATCGGGTCTGGCACAAAGCGCTTCTTTCGAAACTTCCTTTCTATGGGCTTCCCGAGAAATTGTGCAAATGGATCACCAGTTTCCTTGCTGATCGGAGCATCAAGGTCGTAGTAGACGGTGCATGCTCTGATTTCAAGCCTATCAACGCTGGTGTTCCACAAAGCTGCGTGCTATCACCAACGCTGTTTCTCCTGCATATCAATGATATGTTGCTAACTGGTAGCATTAATTGCTATGCAGATGACAGCACTGGTGATGCCTTATATATCGGCCGTGCCAATATTTCTCGGGAAAACGTCGCTGAGTACCGGGACAAACTTGTGTCTGAAGTAGAGTCTTTGCTTAACAAAGTCTCGGATTGGGGCCGACTAAATCTAGTCCAGTTCAATCCCCAGAAGACAAAAGTTTGCGCGTTTACCGCTAAACCCCTTTGTCGTATCTCCTCAGTTTCAAGGCACTCCCCTT